CGTACAAAGTGTCAAAAACGGTGGCGTGATATCCAGTCCTTTTTTTTTTTATTAAAAAAAAGGGGAAAAAAAACGTAGTTTATACTCTGGACTCGTGTTTAACAGCCATACGTGTAAGGTAGTTTAGTTCAGCGATTTAATTATACGTTTGCAGCAACAGCTCGCAGCAGCAACTCGACTGAGATTATCACAACGTTTTTCGTGTTAACGCGTCGTTCAATCGCGAGCTCAGTTTGCATTTATTAATTTACTATCATAAATTCGAGCTGAGCTTGAGTGAAATACCTCTCATTGTGTGTACCCGTGCACCCTGGCAGATAGCTTCGAAATACTTGGAACTTTTATGGATCAGTCGGTGCATATAAATACAAATTTTTCTCTTTTTCGCCTCTCTCTATATCCACGCAAGCACACGAGATTTATACAGAACGAAGTTTTATTTGCCTTCGTTATCAGCGATGCTTAAAAAATCGTACTTGTGTGTATAAAAGTTTACGTGTACGCAAATCGTCGCGAAAATATTTATCTTTCCATAAAATTCTCACAATTCAAATTACGAGAAATAAGCACGTAAACACGTATGTTTGCACTAGCGTATGCATGAGGGTATTTCTTAATATTAAAGATGCTTCGCAACGACTTGTTTTGAATTAAAGCCACCGAATGTATCAACTTATTTTCGTGAATTTATTTCGACGCATTTGCTGCAGGCCAGACGCTGCACTAATACGCCCTCTCTCTTTCAACGGGCAAAAGTTTGCCCAGCCGCGCACCCGCCACAGTTCATGCATATACCTTGCGATCTGGGCGCAACAAGGTAAAGGCGCCCCCAAGGACAGGACAGAGAAGTGTAAAAATCGGACAATGAACGAGTCTCTCTCTCTCTCTCTCTCTCTCTCAGACTTTCGTGCATTGTCAAGGAGTTGAGTCGTTTCTTTGTATAGGTGCATATACATCGTAGACGTATGTGTGAGTGTAGGCCTGGCCTCAAGACGGTGACGCCTACCGCTGCACAGCAGACTGATTGCGTCTGGACGAGCCGAGCTATCTTTCAATGCCCCACCATCGTGATCGGAGTGCAGATGATCGGCCGCCGCTGCTATACCGTCGGTACGTCGGTTAATACTCAGCTCTTTTGCCGCGATCATCTTTTACCTCGCGCTTGTGCGTTAATAGAAATTTGCCCTTTGATCCAAAGGTCTTGAATATTCTGATTGGTATGCTGTTAAAGACTTCCATGTTTTGATTTTTTTTAATTGTTTGTAGAAATTGATAGTTACATTATTACAATTAAAAAAAGAAAGGAATTTGAATTATTTTTACACAATTTAACAAACCAAGTAGCTGAAAAAAATGAATGTAAAGGGCATTCCTCGAAGGATAACATGCAAGACACGTTTTGAAATATCAGGAAACATAACAAGAACGACTTCTGACAATTCCATCTGCTGTTGTTAATAATACAGCTATCTCATCTTCATGGATCAGCAGTGTGATTTCGGTCGTCGACCTGAGCATTTTTGTGAATGCAGCAATCGGGTGCAACTACATGCGCGAGCCAGTATAAATGCAGTAGTCGAGAGAAGAAAGCGACGTAATCGAGCCACTTCCGCGTGATGCAGCGCCAAGTATACTTTATACGATATAACCTCGTGTTCCAGGAAACAGTGGAGAGAACCATCTCAGGCGCATCTATATTTAGACACATTCCCACGTGTGCATACACGTAATATACTGAAAAGGACCTCGTTATCATACGACTAATGAACTTGTCCGCGTCGTCTGGGTCTTCTTTTTTTCGGCAACGCGAAGCAAAATCTACTTGTAATTTTTGTGAAGCATAATTTTGCGAATTCCAAGGTGTACACGCAACGTACGCGAAACTCAAAACCACCGTGTGATCAAATATCAAATCCATCTCGATTCATGGGTATTATTCGAAGGAATCGAAACGAGGGAGAAAAGAGATCCTCTCCTTTACCTTCGCGTTAAGAGCTTGACCCTGGCGCAACGCTGCATATACGATATATATATAGCGGCACAAGCAGTGGCCTCAAGTGTACACAGCCTGGCGCAGCCAAGCACAATCGTAACGGATGAGAGGCATTAGTTAAGGAGCATATCAAAAGGTATAATGGCAACTTGGCCACCAAGAAGTTCTTACAAACCTCGACGTGGCTGCGTATCCGTACGTGTGTATGCATTGACCCCACCCAAGTTATATTATGTGTATTATGCAGATCCTGAGAAGTGCAGAGCAGCGTATATACGTACTGCATCTCTCTCTTTTCTCGAAGCCCACAGCCGAAGAATAAACACAATGCAGGCTCGAAAAGGCCGAGACTCTATCGCGATATCTCCGAGATTATTAATTGAAACACAGCCTTAGCCTGGCATTATGATGTCTCTAATATGTCTTTTTCCACTTGACTTGCGAGCGTATCGTATTCGCAGCTGTGGCATATTATGTGCACGTCGCGGCGTAAACTCGCATCGAGGGCTTTTGATCTGCTCGCATGCACGCGGCTATTCTTACTCGATATTATGTACGCTCCCGTATTTATAGCCGCGACCTGTGGCCGCGTGTGCACACGTACACACAGGCATAACTTAATATTGCACGCGTTTGAGGGCGAAAAACGCAGAAAATAGCCGGCGTGACAAGCTCGCGTCGTTGCGCATTTCGCAGGCTCGATTAAAAATTGATGTAGGCGTGTCGACGTCTTCGGTGCGTATATACTCGGCTCGAGGTGCATGTTTGAATCGTTCAAAATCTAGGTCCGTTTAGTAGTAGCAGCAACAGCAGCAGCATCAGCGAGATGGATAACTTCTTGCTAGCTGCCTCTTAAGCTTAAAGCTGCGCTGCAGGCATATGGACTGTGGAGGTGTGCTCTTGTCTGTGCGGGTGCTGCTGCATCGCTACACTTTTGTCTCTTTTTAGCCAGTTGCATGTGTCGCGATGCCACCTAAGTAGCGTTTCTCAGCTTTTTGATACTCGCTCATAAATTCAAGTCGACGCTGTGTTTGCCGCGTGTGCCGTATACTACGATATACGCACGACTCGCTACACAACTTTTTCCTATATATTCGAGAGCTGTCTCGCCGCCAAGACTAATCGCACTCTATAAATGCATGCCGTAGCGCGGTGGCACTTGTCACACTCCGGAGCATCGATCTCGCGACGGAGCGAAAAGTAGACGCGCGCAGGCACGACGAGGCCGCGATCGTTGAGCAATATTGCAACTGGCAGCGGCAAGCTCGGCGTCAGCAAGCTCGAGCTCGCTCGTGCTGGTGTCGGTAGCGATCATCTCGCCAAAGCGGCATTAATACACTTCATATTAGCCTCGGCTTAAACTCGCGCGCTGCATTGTATTCTCTGTCTCTCTGGTCTCTTGCGCTGCAGTCATTGTGCAGCGTCGCGGGCGCAAGCGGCTGTTCATCACCGGCCCCCGTACAGCGTATATAACGTATATATACGTGTACATAATATACACCTGGGCGCTGCCACGCACAGGGGGGTCGTGCATTTGTATTATCCACTGCAGTGGTGGCGGCGGCTTCGATCGCGGCGCAAAAGAATACATATACGTGTATATAAATGACTCGGATTGATCAATACTCGGTCGCAGCTGAGCTGCATCGCGAGAGCTTTATAATGTGCCTACACGCGCTTTTCGCTCGATACGAGTCGTGCGCGCTTATATCATGCTTATACGTACATGCTCGACGATAGGCCGCAATATGTAAATATTCTCGTGTCAGCGCATAACGTTTATAATTACTCAGATCCTTGGAGCAATTAGTCTCTCGAGTCGAGAAAGAGGAGGATTTTATTTACGACTGGCGATGATTGAAAAATTTATTTATCGCTCATTTGATATCGCGTCCTGCCATCGCAAACGCGTGGGCGACAATGTAGTCGAGATGTCTGCAGAGATTCTTGCGACTATTCATCACTGGCCAGTTTGCGCGCAGTGTGTTATAGTTTTTAGTTCACAAAGATGAGCTCCGGCTCCCCTGGTTTATTGTGTTATTTTTTTCTTCTCATGACCGCGCGCCACGAGCTTTTTGACCTTTCGACACGCGTATTATTTCCGTCATCGGCCGTCTCGCAGCTCGAGTCAGCCCGCGTGCACGCACACACTTTTCTCGCCTCACACCCACGCGATACACGTCTTTTGCCCGCGTACGTAATACAAATACGACTGCAGAGCGAGACCGATACACGTAAAACCGCTGAAAAATATAATAAAGCCCGGTGTACGTACGAGAGATCGAATTTCCGAGTCGTTGTTCGCGCCTTATGCCACGCTGTATGCGTTCGCCCAGCTCGCATAAATAATACGCTGTATATGTATATCGAGGAGTTTTTTCGTCGGAGCTCGAGCTGTCATCGGATCGCGAATATAATTCAAACGACGTCATCTGTCGCGTGTGCCCGCAGGTTTCCAAGCTACCTATATATAGCTAGCACGAGCCGTGTGCGTGCGTGCGTTTGTATAAGAAAACAAAGCGCCGAAGCAAAGCGATATCCAGCGAGCACATCGTACTCAATAATGTAAACCGAAAAATAATAATCGGTACTCGGCTCTATGCCTCGGCAAAAAAATATAATGCGCGCACGTATACAATATGCATAATCGCGAGGCAGCACGAGTCTTTCTTCGACAGCAGCCAACTACGACGAGGACGACACAGCATTCGAGAGCTGTTCATGCCCTTCGATTTCCCAGAATTGAGGAGGCGCAGCAGCAGCAGCGGCTTTTTATTTCAGCTCGATCCATTTATCAGCCTTGGCCCCCGAGATGTGCAGCAGCAGCAGCAGAAATATACAGGCAATTGTATTTCGCGCTTCCTCCTTCAAGATCAAATGGTAGTAGCCCCCCCTTGCGCCTGAAACCACACTTTCAAAGCCTATAAAATTTTTGAAGCGCCCTCTCCGACTCGTGCAACGTCGGTCGGCGCGACGCCTCATTCCTTTTTCTTGTGTCGTGAACGCCACACGTCAAAGTTAACCTATACAAGTTATTAACTATGTCGAAGCATAAAAAGTTGAAACGAAGACATCGAGAGAGAAGTCATCGTAGGAAAGGTCATAAACGTCGTCACCGCAGCAGGGACTCGTCGTCTTCTACGGACTACTCGCCGAGGTACAAACGTAGGAGGTCGTACAGCCCGGGTGAAACGTCGGATGAATCGAAAGGTAATAACCTATGAATGAAGGACGTATAAGTGTCTAGATCTCACAGACCTATTCTGTGTGGATGAATCTTCGGTCTACTGAAGCATTCGTTGAGGCTGTCCTCCTCGGGCCTATCCGAGTGATATGTGGTTGATGTCACAGCATTACTGCAATAATAAGCCTCGCACAGGGCCTATCCTGTGCGTGTACGTAGGGCCTACCCTATGCTTATGTATAATGGCACTCGAAAGCGACTACGCCAGTGCAATATTGTAATAAAATATTGTGTCGTTTCTCGTGATTACAGAGAGATCATATCCTCGTGAAAGTAGAAGCAGGAGCTATTCTCGAGGCCGCTCGTCGAACAATTCGAAGAGTACGGGTCACACACCACCACGCTCTCGAGAGCGATCGCCGGAAAAAGTGGAGCCTGCAATTACGGATTCCACGAAAAAGACGACGGACAACAATTCACCGGCGGCAAAAAAGGAGGTTAGAATTGCATCGAGCGTAACGGTCGTCGAAAATCCGTCGACGGATGGTAAGGCAGAGCATAACCCCCAAAGTGGAGCCACAGACACTCCGTTGAAAGAAAAAATTGTGAACGTGCTCGGCTGTCGCTTGAAGGAGGACAAAGAATTTTCTCCTGCAGTACACTCACACTTTGTTTCCATTTGGAAAGACATCGTACAGCTCGGCCTACCAAATGATGACAAAAAAGAGCTCATCAAAAAATATCCGATACCAATAAATTGCGAGTTTCTCGAGACGCCAAAGTTGAATAAAGAGATGGAAGTCAATGTGAACGAGGTCTGCAAGACCCGTGATAAGCGTATAGCTGAAAAACAGGACAAGTGCGTTGCAGTAATCACCAGTCTGTCCAAGGTTTTATCTCATATGATATCAATTGGAGGCATTGACAATGACGAAGATGTACCGCATATCGAAGCCGTTAGCGATGCTATACGCCTTTGTTTAGACTCATTTCATGAAGAGTCATCAATACGCCGTAGCCTCGTCATATCTCATATCAATGTGAGTTGGAAGGACATATTAATGACAACTGAGGTAGATGAATTTTTATTCGGTAAAGATCTCACCGAAGTCGCGAAAAAAGCAAGGGCAACGGGTCAAGAAATGAAAGGCTTGGCGAAGAAAACCTCGGAGAATAACTCAAAAAACACAAAAACCCCGTCTCGTCCATTCAACAGGCCGCAGACAGAGACATATGCGGGGCCGAGTCAGCGGCAATCATCGAGGTCTCAATCACAAGCTCAGACGCAGAAGAATCGGAAGCCGTACAGGAGTCGCCGCACCTCGCCGAAGCAGAACTACTCCAGCAACTCGAACAGGAGTCACTCTCGCCACTCGAGGAAGAATTAATAAATAAAAACGTGAGTCGCATAGCAGGCAGGTTGAGTCTGTTTTTTGAAAATTGGCAAAAGCTCACGACGGATAATATTTTATTGTCTTGGATAAAAGGAGTGGAAATTCCTTTTGAAAAAACTCCTTTTCAGACAAAAGCGCCTGTGGAGCGTCAATTTTCTTCGAAAGAAAGAAAAATAATCGATGAGCTAGTGAAGAAATTGTTGTCCAAAGGAGCAATAATTGCAAGCGAGTATACCGAGGATCAATTTTTGTCAGACTTTTTTGTAATTCCGAAGCCAGATGGTTCTTACCGCTTCATTTTAAATTTAAAGCAGTTAAACATGTTTATACCTACCAGTCATTTCAAATTGGAAAACCATAAAACCGCCATGGGTCTAATAAGACAAAATGATTACATGACAAAAATTGACCTCCGGGACGCCTACTATCTTGTTCCCATAGCGGAAAAGCATAGAAAATATTTACGTTTTCGGTACAATGAAACTATATATGAATTTTCATGCTTAGTCTTTGGATTGAATCTTGCACCTTGGATCTTTACAAAAGTTCTCAAGCCAGTTTTAACCTCACTGCGAGCTCGAGGCTTACGGTCTGCAGTCTACTTGGATGACATAATTTTATTTGGCTCGAATTATGACGATTGTAAAAATAATTTCGAGTCTACGAGCCAGTTGCTGTCGAGATTGGGTTTCGTAATACACGACGAAAAGAGCGACTCCGAACCGAAACAATTGTGCACTTGGTTGGGTTTCATTTTTGACTCTCGTAACATGAGATTAGATCTGCCAGCTTCTAAAAAAGAACAAATACATAACATATGCAAAAAATTCAAAAAACTTAAATCTTGTAAAATTCGCGACTTTGCAAAATTCATCGGAACAATAACATCATGTTGTCCAGCAATTGAGTACAGTTGGCTGTACACAAAATTGTTTGAACACGAGAAGACCCTCGCATTAATGTCTTGTAACGGAAATTTCAATGCGAGCATGAAAATAAATAAAAATTTATCTCAAGACTTTGAATGGTGGATCAATGGAAAACACCAATCAAAGAGCTTCGCGCAAACAACTTTTGAAATGGAAATTTTTTCTGATGCCTCGTTAACGGGATGGGGAGCAATGTATAACGACTTTCGAGCACACGGCCATTGGTCAGGTATCGAACAAACAATGAATATTAATCTGTTAGAATTAAAAGCCGCATTTTTCGGACTCAAAAGTTTCGCATCAGATAGAAAAAACTGTAAGATTCTCCTTCGGATTGATAACACCACTGCGATATGCTATGTAAATAGAATGGGCGGTACGCAGTTCAAACACCTCAATCAAATCGCAAGAGAAATATGGCAGTGGTGCGAAGCTCGGAACATTATAATCATTGCTTCTTATATATCATCAAAAAATAATGTCGAGGCAGATGAAGAATCACGAAAATCAAAAACTGAAATAGAGTATGAACTCGCAGACTGGGCTTTTTTGAAAATTGTAAAGATCTTTGGTGCTCCACAAATAGATTTATTTGCCAGTCGGTTGAATCATAAATGCAATCGATACTTTTCATGGGGAAAAGACCCAGACTCTGAAGCAATAGATGCCTTCACACAACCATGGAACAACATATTTTTCTATGCTTTTCCTCCTTTCAATTTGATATTGAAAGTACTGAATAAAATAATTAATGAGAAAGCAGAAGGCATTATTGTCGTTCCTCACTGGCCAGGCCAGCCTTGGTTCCCAATTTTTCTTTCTTTGCTGAAGACAAGCTTCATAAAATTTACTCCAAAAATTGATTTATTATTATCTTGCAGCAACAAACAACACCCATTGTGGAAAAAGCTTTCCCTGGTGGTCGGGCTGTTATCAGCGAAGCATTTAGGAGGCAAAAATATCCTGCAGAATCTATAGAAATCGGCATAGCCTCGATTGAATCTTCTACAATAGTCAATTATGAAGTTTATCTGAGGAAGTGGTGGAGTTTTTGTAATACTCACAACGTCGATTGCTTTCATCCGTCTGTGCAAGATGTAATATCATTCCTCCACGCAGAATTTGATAGGGGTTTATCATCGAGTGCACTAAATGTGGCACGTTCTGCGATATCTTTGATCGTCGATTATGACTTTGCTGGTGATTTTAGATTAAAACGTTTTTTAAAAGGCTGCTATAAAGCAAGACCATCAAAGCCCAAGTATAATTATACTTGGGACCCTAAAGTAGTTTTAAATTTTTTCAAAAATAAAGGTGCCAATGAGTTATTGACATTTAAAGATCTATCAAGAAAAGTTGTAACTCTTCTAGCGCTAGTAACTGGACAAAGAATTCAAACGCTATCATTAATTAAAATAGAAAATATTAAAATCGAAGACGAAAGAATCGTCATCTTCATTCCAGATCGAGTAAAGAATTCTCAAAAAGGTGTGAAACAACCTGTTCTTTATATACCCTTTTACATACAAGATGTTAATATTTGTCCAGCTTCTGCGCTTAAAGAATACCTGAATGTAACACTTACTTTGCGAGGAGAAGAAACCTCGTTATTTTTATCGTTAAATAAAGGCAAGAAAAAAGCCGTTTGTAAACAATCGCTTAGCAATTGGGTGAGAAAAGTTTTAACATTGGCTGGCATAGACAGCGTATTTACGGCCCATAGTACGAGGCACTCATCTAACTCAGCAGCTAAGCGATTGGGAACTTCGATTGATACGATCTGTAAAACGGCAGGATGGTCGAAAAGTTCGGCCACATTTGCTCGTTTCTACAATAGAGAAATCATAGATCAATCAGAGTTCGCATTATCCATTTTGAATAACAGGAGAACCTAATGTTTACTGTGTTTTGTATTTTGTTTAATAAACATTCAGTATCTCCTTAATTGTCGTAAGTCGCTTTAAAGATCTACCATTTGATCTTGAAGGAGGAAGCGCGAAATACAATTATACAATTGAACGAACTTCTAAGTGAAGTTCAATTCAAATTGTATGAGCGCTTCCTCCGAAAGATCAAACTCCCACCCATGATACCCATATTTCTTCATGAAATACCCAAAAAATGGACTTACGAAATTACTTTGAAATAAATGAGGCGTCGCGCCGACCGACGTTGCACGAGTCGGAGAGGGCGCTTCAAAAATTTTATAGGCTTTGAAAGTGTGGTTTCAGGCGCAAGGGGGGGCTACTACCATTTGATCTTTCGGAGGAAGCGCTCATACAATTTGAATTGAACTTCACTTAGAAGTTCGTTCAATTGTATAATTCCAAGTGCAGTATTATGCGCGAGGAGTTGGTATTTAGCATGCATCGCGTCGTTATTACGTCGAGCGCGCATGTGCCTTATATGCACGTGAATTTCCCTTTGGGAGCGCGGCGTGTGCAACAATTTGGCATGCTAATCGCGAGGCGATGATTCCGCGATCGTTTGGAAAGATGGATATCGGCGCGGCACTGCAACAAAGGCTTTTCATGCGAAAAAAAATTAAATAAAAATAAAATAAAGAGACAACTCGCTGCCTATTGCGCGCACACACATACACACGTACTTGAGTATGTGAATGTACAAGCTGTATAGAAGAGGTGAAAAGAGCCGCGTACATACTGCATCGCATGTACAACGCTCGCACACACATATAAGCGCACGCATGCTTATATACTCGGACGCAAAGAGCTGCTGCGCCACACGAATATTAATGTCGTTCGACTCGGCAACGAATAGCTGTCAGCAGGCCAATCTTCTTCTTCTCTCCCTCTCTTTCACTGCATTTCGCGATATACACACTGCCAGAGTCGCTGCAAATTTATAGAATACAAGCCGAGCGCGTGTCTCGCCGTGCGCTGTCGTCTTTAGCCCCGGTGTGCAGCAGCAAACACACACACGTACACAAGTATACATAACACGCGGCCAGGCGCACGTGTATTTTTACTCCTTTCATTCGTGCCGCGAGCGAGCCTACAATCGTTCGATTATTTCTTTGCTTTTCTCGCGTATCGTACACCTATAAATATATATGCGTTCGAGTAAAGCCTACAGCCCTACGAGGGCGCTTACAACCATCGTATGCGAATGTGTGTGTATAAAGCGAGGTGCGAGCTTTTTCTCGTTACAGAGGTGCCGTTGCGCGCGAGACGTCATCTCGACGCGCAGCTCGACATTTTTCGTCATTATGTATTTCGGAGCGCCGAGGCTAGCTTATACGTACACAAATGCACACACACGGCATTTTGGTCGTTTGGCGCTCGCTTTCTCGCGTTGATGTAAAATGAGCCGGAATATGCATGCAAATACGGCCCCCGGAGCTCCGAACTTTACAATGTGAATTTTACGTATAACACATATGCACACGCACGTACAGACGCTTACACAGGTAAGGCAAGCTATATGTGCCTGGCCACACATTGTAATTCAGCCTATGCCTGCGGAATGATGCTCTGCCTCTATCTTTCTCTGTGTTTGTCTCTAAGCGCGAAACATGAACGACAACGTGTAAATATATACCCACACATGGGATGCCGTGTATTTTACTATATAATACGCAACAACGAGTCGTCGACGACGACGATGCCGCACGCGCACAAAGCCGAGCGCGGGAGTATTTTTCAGCCTGCTATATATGCGCGATAGCTTTGAAAGTGATCATCGTCGTGTATATATATAGTCGCGCACAATGTCTCCGTGTATACGTGTGCGTATAACGTATAAAAGCTGCATCTTTGCAGTGCGGAGCTCGCAACGCGCGTACGCCAAGAGAAAGAGAGAGAGAGAGAGAGCCAAGTATCGCGTGTCAAGGATAGCGCGATGCGACTCGGTGACTGCTTTTCACCTCGGCGCTATACTTAACAAACTTAGTCACTCACTCTCGCTTTGTGTCGCGTATACATATACACGCCACTTTCCCTCGCCGCCGCTGCCTGATGCTGCTGTTGCTGCTGCTGCTGCTGCTGCTGCTGTTGATGATGGTGATGATCCTCTTGCTATACCTCCCAGTCGCGCGCGGTACACCCCCTCTCGCCTCTCTTTGCACTCACTCGCTCTATCTGCCTGATAACAAGAGTCGAGCTGGCTGGCATTTCTTAACGTTGTTAAGATATGTTAATTTTGTTTACCTATAAGCTATTAAAGGGGCTCTAATGTGCTTAAAGCTAAACCAGTTTCGCCCCGTAAGATGTGAGCGTGTATGCGCGTACGTATCCTTAAGGGATTCTCTTTGGAATCTTACGGGCTGCGCCTGCTTGCCTTTCTTGACTTTCTATATACACACACACTCTTCATCCAAAAAGGAATTTAGCCTCTTGGCTGTACCGCTCGCATATGTTGACAATGAGCGGCGATGCATCTACTACTACCTACGATCTTATCTCGATTATCGAAATTCGCTAAACTGTTTACACCGAGGTCGAGTCGCCATATCTATATAATATACGATAATATCGGGGCGAGCTTATGAAATAACTCTCCAACGAGAGGGTGGCGATGAATTTCAGCTGATTTAATGAATTTTCGCGCCGGCTTATAATGGAAAAATATATAAGTCAAGCGGCAGTGTCTGCGTAGTAATAAGCTGCTTAAAGAGCGCGACGCGCTTAACCGCAATGAACGCCGCGCGCGCTCGTCTTCGGTATCACTTTGAGGACCGACTTACACGCGGACTATGTAATCTTGAAAAATCTAACGAATTTTCGGAACCTTACAGAACCGTATCGTGTCGCACGGTGAAAAAATAAAAATAAAATAAAAAGTAAAATAAAAAATAAAATAAAAAGCAGCTCCCTTAGTGTATATCCTTGTTGTGACCCTATGTATGTGCGTTTGTATGTGGGTATGTCCTGTCATTGACCAATTAGTCTCAGGCTCGTCGCGCGCCCAAGAAAACGAAAGAGAGAGAGAGACGAGAATTCTCAGAGAACGAGGCAAGCAGCATAAACGCACGTGTATTGTAGCTACCTCAGGATCGGACCACGTTCGCGAATCTAGATCCGACGCGATATCATCTATCCGAAACGTTTATCTCGTCGTGTTGCAGCGTTGCTTCTGCTGCTGCTTGTGGAAAGTTTCTGCTCTCGGGCTCGTAAAAAAACTGTTTTTTTTAGCACGTTTGCCGCGTGCTCGCTGCCTTTTTTCCTTCTTCTCCTCTCGTGTGAATCGAGCGACGAATGATAATACTCCACGAGCGGGTAAATAAACGAGTACGTTCTACTAAACGAGATTCTCCAAATGTACTCGGAGCAATGATTTTTAACGATCATATTTTTCTTGCCGCGGCACAGCGAGAAACGCGCGACGAATGCGTGAGTAAAAATCCGTCGAACCAAATTTCCGTGTGTATTAATTAAAGGACCTGTGCTTTGACAGATATATAAAGGTATATACATTAGCTATTGAGCGTGTAATCGATGCGTCAATAAATTACAATATATACCTTATCCACCCCCTCGATCGAGGGCAAGAGAATGAATGCATAGACAGAAGAATCGAATCTTTTGTGACGGTGTCTACGTGCGGCGTGACAGGTAGCTTTACGCGTACACACTGCGCGTATATAGAAGCGGTATTACAATAAGCAGACAGAAAGAGTATGGAATCCCGCTCGCACCGCCGCGGTACTTGCGTCGAAGAGAAAATGAATTAATTGATTGAATGCAGAAATAAGCAGGTAATTCCCAATGAGATGAGGACTTTGTGCTTATATACATATAATATACGCGGAGAGCAAAACGAAGGTCGAGCATCGGCAACCCTCGCGAGATTTACTTGACAGCCATCAGACGGGAGAGAGAGAGAGGGAGGCGTATTATAGCTCGAAAAAAATAATGATACACATACACACACTCGCGTGCATAGAGAGCGAGAGGAAAGAATAAGCAGGCCAAAAGGGAGAAAAAAAGGAGAAGCTATAGGGAAAAAGTGGGTGAAGCGGGGACAGCTGAGAGAGCGAGAGAGAAGATCGACATGCAAAGAGAAAGAGACGAAGAAAGAGCTCTCGCGTATATTTTTATTTATTCAGATTTCGATTATCTTGCTTGTCTCGCGAAAACCTGTTTGATGGAGACCACCTAGGGGGGGGTCGCCGTTATACACTCGCGTATCTATAATACGCGTATATACACAAACACACATATACTGGCTCAGCTCAAAGAGGAGAGACTACGAGCCCTGGGGATTTTTCGATTCGCAGCAACAGCAGCAGCAGCAGCAGTACCGGCAGTGGCAGAATCTCTAATTCTACCAGTCGCTTAATAGCTCGGGTGCCTGCGCATGGGAACATCGATATTTTTCACTCGTTCGAATTTTCCGGTCTCTTGCACCCGCGTAAAATATGAAAACGATAATAAAGTGCGCGAGCGGACGGAGTGTATGTGTATAAGAGGACGAAGCGGAGCTTCTTTGCTTTTTTGGCATAGCGCAGCGCGCGGTGCTGCATATAGAGCAACGCCATGCGATCTTTTGCACAGCTCGTCGTCGTCGTCGTCGGGGCCTCCGCGCGTTCTCCGGTCGTAAAATCTAATGGGGTATAAAGCGCGCGAACGTGAAAAGACTCGGGGCTTTATGCACGCATACAGCGAAAGAAAAACGCGCGCAGTGAGCTTCGTCGCTGCTGCTGCTGCTGCTCGCAGGGCGCATTATTAGTACTTTATGCTAATCACCGAAGGGCTTTAACATTCGAATCACTATATAAGCAGTTTTCGGCTCTCCGAATCAATTTTCGACCTCGCGCGCGTATACACCCTATATTACGATATAAAGCTGTTTTTATATTTCGCGGCCTTCGTTTCGATAAAAATGTTGACGATGCGCGTGATAAGCACGGAAACGTACGCAGACAATTTAAGGC